TTGTTATTTGAATTATTTTATCAAATTAATTATGTTTAATATTTTGTTATGAATATTTTTATAAAGTTTCGATGTGTTTTATTTTTTCGCACATATCCAACAATATTTACAACTATATTTCTTAGGTAATAGTTAAAAAAAAAACAAAAAAACAAAAAAAAAAAACAAAAAAACAAAAAAAAAAATTCTTAGGTAATTTTTTTTAAAATTATGTCTTTTGTTTTAATGTTTCGCTTTTACTGAAAAAAATGAATTCGTCATTCTTCTTCGCTCCTCTCAATCAAATTTCTGACTCCATCCCTTCATATTTGTGTCGTCCCTTTCAATTACGTGAGTGACTGCAACTGAAACATCTAACATTTGTGTCGTCCCTTTCAATGAAATCAATAATGGGACAAATTCGTTGAATGATGATTACTGAGTTGTATTATTAGTGTTTTAATTAGTGTTATGAGGTTTGGTTTTTGATTCAGCCACTTAAGTTTAGAGACTAATAGTGATAATTATGTATGTGGATATGCTGTGTAGGATTAATTATATGTCTAAAGGTTATTGGATTGTTAATTACGTATGAATTGTAATTATGTACTTCATTTGAACTGTTAGTTCGTATTGATTTTATGATTTTATTTAGGAAAAATTGTAATTTATGCTTCTCACAAAAATGCCCATTATTAACGTCATCGCTGAATTATTAGTGGTGTAAATGTTGCATTTCAATTTTTAAAATGTGACATATATTTCTCTTCCTCTAATAGGAAGGAGAAATATTGTTGTCGACAGAAGAAGAACAAACGAAGAAAAAAAAAGGAGGAAAAAAACATGGTCTTCGAACAGGAAAAATGACATGTAACCACATTTACATTACTAATAATTCAGGGGGAGGGGCAATATGTCACGTTTTGAAAATTGAGGGGCAACATTTGCACTACTAATAATTTATGGATGACATTGATAATTGGCATTGATAGATACCCCAAATCGGACACCCGATCGGGAGCGTGAGGCAAGGCAGTCAGGTTCGACCATGGTCTGATACTTAGCAAGTTAGACGACATCCGCGGCTCTCGTTCGTCATATGAGACGCTTGGAGATCGTAGCCGGTTATCCTCAGATACTAGTCGTCCATGAAGACAGACGCATACCCAGATGGAGGTTGGTCGGCTCGGGTAAAGTGACCAAGCTCAGTAGCCGGCGTGTCATCGGCTGGGTTCGCACATGAAACTCGGTTGGGCGACCAGCCTCGGTAGTCGGCGTGTCCCCAACAGATACCCTCCCGGGATTCGGATGGGTGACCAAGCTCCACGGGCGGCGTGTCCTCGACCAGGCACTGCTCGGGAACTCAGCTCAGCGGTCAGGGTGTCCTCGCCTGAGTAACGCAGCCCCTCCTCAAGCCATCTCCTAGGCAGTCAAGGCGTCCTCGGCTGGGTGCTCGCTCAGAGGTGGTTATAAGCAGATTTCGCTGAGATCTCTTTCCTCATTTAATACGTGTAGCTTCCTTTATTAACTTAGACATGTATGACATTAAGGAAGCTGAATTCCTTAACTGATTTGGCTCCACGGCAACCCTACTTTCCTTGTAGGAATCTTGTACTCTTGTATAAATATCCCCACGGGATCACCATGTAAAGGGTCGAACGGCCGAAAGCCTAGAGAAATAATATCACATTATTCTCTCAGCTACGCTGAGTCTTTCACTCACAAAACACCCTAAGTATTTTACGATAGTGTTGGCCCACCGAACGGCTACCAAAGACCGTAAAACCAACATGCATATTTGTGAGGGACATATATTACAATATTCCATTTTATTTATTATAGTGTATTCATTTGATATCTAATTATGATTAACTTGTTAGTCACCAAAGTGACCAAATTATAAAGCTTCACAGATATCAAATTTAAATGAAAATCAATTGCCCGTGATTATGTAATTGTTATAATGAGAGGACATGATGTTAAATTTTATTTCATTAGGTAAATTGAAGTTTAGTAAATATTTAAGAGTCGTTCAAAGGTTGATCAAATATTTCATAATTATAAACATAATAGTGATTAATTATTTATATTCGTTTAGGTTGTTTAGCATATCCAAAGAAAGCAAACAAGTCTACTCGTAATATACTTAATATACTTAACAGTCAATATGAAAAAATATAATAATTGAGCATCGTATTATGCTTAATGTTATACGTTGTTGGATCACCCAAAGGAAACTTTCAATGTATTTGATTGTTTATGAGTATGTTAATTAAATATGTTTATGTATTAATGTAGAATTTTATATGTATTGCAGCATCTAGTTGTGTTTCGATTCATTGCAATTTGCGTCCATTGTAAAGTTTAATGGGCTAAACTTTGCTAAGTGGCAAGCATGAACAAATCTAGTTTCACCTCGGCGTTCTAGATCTAGATCTAGCACTCTTGACTGACAAGCTCGCTGTTATTAATGATACTAGCAGTGCTGATGATGTAGCTTTCCATAAGCATGGGAAAAATTAAATAGACTCATCTTAATGCTTATGCGAATGGCACTTGGAAACAACATTAAGTCTACAATTCCCAAATTTGACACTACTAAGGATTTGTTGAAACTTGTGGAGGAAAATTCATATTCTAAATGTGGTGATAAGTCCCTAGCAGGCACGCTTATGGGTAAACTAACCACCATGAAATTTGATGGTTCACGTTCCATGCATGATCATGTTACTGAGATGTTGAGCTTAACAACAATATTAAGGTCCATGAAAATGGACGTGAGTGATAATTTCCTTGTACAATTTATCATAAACTCCTTGCATCTCGAGTATGAAACATTCCAAGTGAATTACAATTCCATTAAAGATAAGTGGAATGTGCTCGAATTGCATAAAATGCTAACCACGGAGGAAATAAGGCTTAAGGAGCAAGGGACGATTCACTCAATTAATCTTAAGAGTCAGTCAAGGGCGGGAAAGAAGTATGGAAAGAAGAATCAAAAGGGTAAGAAAGGACCAATGAAGGTTAATGAGTCATCTTATCAAATCCACAAAAAGGAACACAAAGATAAGTGTCATTTCTGCAAGAAATCTGGACACTTTAAGAAGGATTGCTAGAAACGTAAGGCATGGTTCGAAAAGAAAACTATACATTATATTCTAGTATGTTTCGAATCAAATTTAACTGAAGGTCCTTATAATACTTGATGGATTAATACTAGTTCTACTACACATGTTTCGAACACAATGTAGGGATTCCTTATGACCCATGCCAAACCATAAAGCCAAATGAAAAATTTGTGTTCATGGGGAACCGAGTTAAGGTTCTAGTAGAAACCATTGAAACTTATCGTTTAATTTTAGATATTGGACATCATTTGGATTTGTTTGAAACTCTTTATATTCTTTCAGTCTCTAAAAATTTAATTTCTTTGTCAAAACTGGACACTTATAACTTTTCTTTTAAGTTTGAAAATGGTTGTTCCAATTTATTCAAATAAAATCATTTTAAATCTTTAAGTTAAATTGAAAGGTACTTATATTACCTCATCACTAAGACACTAACATAATAGTCATTTAAATATAAAATTACTCTTTTTGTTTGTCATATTTACTATTCAATGGTCAAATTAATTCTTTCTTTTTTGTTTATTTTTATTGGTATTTTCTTATAAATTTTAAATTTAATTTTTTGTGTTTAATAGTATTTTTAATGTAATTTCTAAATATATAACTTTTACATACTAATTCTAAACTTAATTTTATAAAAATTTAAATTGTAAATTATTTTAGTCAAACTTCATTAATCGAATCCGACGCATAAAATGAAACAAGGGCAAGAGGTAGTAATTTATGAAATAAGATTAACAAAATTCGAATAATTAATGATTAGAACTTAGAAGGACAATGCATTAACGGGTCAAGTTGATATATTAACAGTTATGTTATGGATCCGGGTCCATCTTGCAAGGTAGACCATAATCTAAAATACACAATTTACATATTGAATGTTTATAATTTATATACTGAATTTTCATAATTTGAATTGTAAACATTTAGTATGTAAATTGTGAACATTCAATACATAAAATTTTAAACATTCAATATGTAAATGATATACTTTTGGAGCCGAGTTCACCCGGGTTCACAGAATAATGTGGATTGATATATAGTTGACTGAACATGGACAGTTGGCCTGAAGCAAATGACAATCATGACAGCATGTAAATTAAAGTTCATACACCCAAATGCAGCCAAAATTCATTAAGGGCTTTGGTGAAATTTCTATCATCAGACATCAGTCTTAGAGGCTCCACCTGATGACATCTTGGGGCTCTTTCGACGGATGCCAGTGATACTAGATTTAGAAGGGTTAATTAATACCTATTTTGAGCGAAGCAGTCTCAAAAAAAAAAAGAAAAAAAGAAAAAAAAAGACATCAATTTTCGTTGCACATTAATTGTCAATTTAATAATTTTCCCCTAAAATGGTGGATGAGTGAATAAAATATAATTTTTATATTTAAATTTCATAAGTTTATTTTTTATTAACATTATTTTGATTGAATTCATTGTACTCATCATATAATTGACGTCATATATTATACCTTTTTTTTTAATTTTTGATATACGATGTCTGTTTAAAAAACAGAGTTAAAGTGTTTTTTTTTTAAATAATTATAAATTTATTTATCGTTTTGACGTCGATTTGACCAAAACTCAATGTTATAGGTTTTCTGTAGTAGTGTGTCTTTCTTATTTGCTAATTGATTCATACTCCACACACACTTTACAACTTCAACTATTCAAATAAACCAAACCAAGTTACGGACAAACTTGACAAGTCAAAGAATTCCGCTGGGAAACTCACATTCTTACAATAAGTTCAAAAGTTTTAAATGTATATTCAACATCCTCTCCATCTAGAGTACTTTTACTTAATCGGAACCAACATGGTTGGTCAAACTTGCATCATAAATACTTAATTATTATATATAATAATAAATTATACTAAGCCGGAAAGTATCACAATAGTATTCATATATCATAAGCAAAATGGTCACACATCAATACATACATTACACATTAATGTTCACAATGTACAATCTTATTATTACCAGCATATTGCAAAAGAAAAGTGGTAAATGCATGTTTTCAAGATTCATAGTAAACACACTTCTTCCTTAGATTCCA